GGCGCAGGGGCGCGCACAGCCCGCCCTCCCTGGGGGCAGCCCCGCCCGCCTCCAGCGGCCGCCCCTGTCGCCCCAGCCGCGCCCGGGCGTGCAAAACTGGGGGGGTGGGGGGGGAGCTTAAGAATGGCTGCGGCCCCTTTAAGACCTGCCCGCTTCCTTTTCCTCCCTCCGCCCCTTTCCATCGGCGCGTACCAAAGCGCAGAGGGAGGAGGGGGGCAGAGAAGCCTCGGCGCCGAGCAGGGGGGAACCCAGAAGGAGAGGTCAAAAGAGAAAGAGGCCTCGATGACTGACTCTCCTTTCCTTTCTCCGGAGGGTATAGCTTCCTGGAGACAGGACAAGGGGAAAACATTCCGCCCCGGGTCTACGCGTCCCCGAGAGGCAAGGTTATTTAGTACAGCCCACAGTTTTTTTTTTTCCTGCCCCGCCCCCTATCTCCGACCTCATTTGCTCTCGCCGGCTCCAGGCCGCGAGAGAGCGGCTAGAGAGGCTGGAGGGCGGCCGAGGGCGGGGTTGCTGCTTGCGCGCCCCTAGTGGTAGGAGGATTCGGCCCCAGGCACCACCCTATGTGATCTTCCCGGTTCTCAAGACTTCTGGCGCTGGGGTCACCATCCCCAAGGAGGGATCCAAAAGGAGGTGGAACGGAGACCAGAGGAGCAAATGGGACGTGCTGGGAAAATGCCCCCCCCACACACACACCCGGCCCCCGCCTTTGGTTCTAGAATCCCTAATATCCTGGCAACGGGGCTGCAGAACGTCCACAGACAGCAAGGTTTTTATAGCAACGGGTAGCTGCACCACCCCGGCTGCCCCTCTTTCCAGCCTTCCTCCCCAGCTCCTCCCCCCCCGTCCCCTGAGACCTAAACAGCGGCTCTTTAGCCCTCCCTGTTTCCCTCCTGCCCAAGATTTCAACTCATCTGCCAGGTCGGGGGCAGTAAGCCAGCTGGTGCCTTGTCTTGGGAGGGGCCTCAGGTGGGAGGAAGGAGAGTGCTCCTGGGCCACCCCACTCCTTCCCCCAGGCAAAGATTTGTTTTTTCAGGGAGAGAACCGGACAGCAGGATGGTTCATCTAAAGGCCTTAAATCTGGCCCTTGAAGAATGGTGGTGGGATGGGTTTGGGGAAAGTGGGCTGGTTTCTCAGCCTAACACAGGTGTCACCTGTTTCCAGGGGGATGGCATCCACACCTACCAGGAATGAGGAGAAGAAGGGCAGCAGGATGTCCCAAGCTGCAACCCCCTTGGGTGGAGGTCTGGTGAGCATGGGAGTGAGCCGAAGTGAATGGAGAGCTCCTAGGTCAAGGGCACTGACACCTCCAGCCTTGAGACTCTAGTCTCAACCCTGAGCCCATAGCCCCCAGCACTTGGTCCTGAGGTTCTCAAAGACTGTCCCCCATTTCCGGTGCCTTCTCTGCCAAATCTCAAGAATCAGCCCTCCAATACCAGACTCAGACCTTAGACCCAGAGCTCCCAGCCTGGGAGCCCCCAGACTCAGGACTCCCATGTGGGAACTCCCAGGCTGAGCCCCTCTGATTTCCCCTTTTGCAGAAGGTTTCATTATCCAGATCTGAGGAATTCCTGACCCGGATCAGCACAGAACTCACCAATGAGGCCTTGTTTATTGCTGGCTGCCACATGAACTCTGTGCCCACCAAGGAAAAACAGACCCAGGATCGAGGGACTCAGATATCCAAACACGGTGACCCCCCCCACTCCAGGACCACTGTGTCCGGAGACCCTACCATACCCTGAGTTCCAGTCCCTAACCCCTCCCAACCACAGCTGACCTTTCCAACAATCTGTGCCCACCTCCCTGAACTCACAGCCAGCCCTTGGACTCCCACCCTCCAACTCACCTAGTACCCACTCCTCACTGCTGGCCAGGAACACCTCAGCACCTTTCTCCCTAGCCACGTCTCTTTCTGGCTATGGGGGCAATAATTTCTCTGACTTGGGCCTCTACTTCCAGTGTTCTTCAAGACCCGAGGCACTGATACCTGGTGAGTGAAGCTTCAAGGGAGAGGCCCTTTGTCCTGGGAGAAGGATGAGGAGCCTGGAGGGGAGAGAGTGAGGGTTTAACAACATCCTAGCAGGGTAGGGGAATTCTAAAACCGCGTAGTCTGATTCTCTTCTGCTCTGATCCTCGAATTCCGAATTCTCAGCCCTCCCCTTTCCCTCTGCCTTCTCTAGTTCTGACAGAAACCGTACCCGCACCAAGGCCCACCTCCTCCCATCCCCTCGTGACAAGGTATATACTGATTCCACGAATGACAAGGCCATTCAGTATTAACCAAACATTTAAAGTTCACAGGATATGCCAGTCCCGGTTTTAGGAGCTCGGGACCCAGAAATGAAGGATACAGTCTCTGCCCTGGAAGAGTTCACAGTTTAGCGTGGTGCCAGTCAAGTAGATGGTCAATTACAACATGATATGGATCAGTGCCTATAATAGAATTGGAAACAACGAGAAGAGTGCTTATCCCAGCCTTGGGCTAGGAAGGAAAGGAATCATGGAGCTTCCTGGTGGAGGTGACATCTAAAGAAAGAATCTTCCAGGAAAAAAATGGGTTGGTCAGGGTATTCCAAGTGGTAGGGCTCGTATGAGCAAAGACATGAGGTGAGTTTCAGCAGAGTGAATGGGAGTGTGTCTGTGTTCTTAGGGTGGGAGAGAAAGTGGGATCAGAGGGCAGTTTAGCTGCTGGAGTACAGAGGCGTGGTAGTCAGGGTCTACTCAGAGACCTCATGCGGGCGTGCCTTAAGATCAGGAGCCCCTGAAGAGATTTGAGCAAGGGAGGTTGTAATTTTAGATAGTCATTCCGGTGGTCAGTGGGGGGAGTGAGCTGGAAAGGGGAGATGAGAGGTGGAGGCCAGTTAGCAGTTATGCCAAGAGACTAAGCTGGTGAGGATCGGGTCCTGAATTGTCATAGTAATAGTAGAGATGAGAGGAGGGGCAGATATGAGAAATAAAGACCAGGAAAACTGAGTTTGGTCATTGAGTAGAAATGGTAGGGGAAAAAAAAAAAAAAAAAGGAAATCAGATGACCCGCCCCCACATTTCTGACTTCTGTAACTTAAGTCTGATGATGTCATGCTTCTGCTCTGAACTCCATGATAACGATAGTTCCCCGTTTCAGAGGAAAAGCCAAAGTCCTTCAGTGGCTTACAGGGCCTCTCGCCTCCCCCCACCCCACTGTCTCTCTGACCTCATTGCTTAGAACTGCTCACCTTGTCTCCCTCTGTTCTCAGCCATGCCAGCCTCCTCAGTCTTCCTGGAGCATGGCAGCCATGCTCCCACCTTTGGGCAGGTTGAGTTTCAGGTGCCTCTGGGAAGACCAGGTGGAAATACCATGTAGATAGTTGGAAAGCGGGCTTCAAAACTCACCAGGGATGTCTGGGCTGGTGATAGAAATTGGATTTAGGAGGGAGTCGGCAGTTGAAGGCTGTGTAGGGGTTATGCAGAGTAAGCAGGAAGAGGGCGCTGAGGCTGGAGTCCGGAAGAATCTCTCCATGTGAGGAGTTGGTGGAGGAGAAGAGAGGGGGTCATGAGGAAGGCAGAGAAGGAGCTGACCGCAGATGTTTATTGAGTGTCCAGTATGTGCCGGGTCCACCAGGTCTTATGGATGGTCAGTTTTCTGGGGCTGCTACTTCCAGTGTTCATGACCAAGACCAGTGGCACAATTCTTAACCTCAGGGAGCTGGCCTTCTAGTGCCTTTGGGACATTTGAACTTTCCCAGTTGGGCTTTGGTGTTAGAAGCAGCTTGAAGTAGCAGGAGAGCCCTGGGCCTTAACAGCTAATCTGCTCTCAACCTGATAGTTAGCCTTGTGCAAGTTGCTTCCTTTCTCCCCATATGTCAAATGGGGACCTTGGACAAGATGCTCTGTAAGGACCCTACCTGCCCGTACAGTGGTTTCCTGTTCCTTCCCAAATGGCACTTGATTGAGAATTTCATCCTGAGCCAATACCCTCTCATCCTCTGGGCAGCACCCCATGGTCCCAAGAGACTTTCCCTTCCTCATCCTCAAGAACATGGAAGCCTACAGATCTTTGAACTGCTCCTCGAATTATAGGTCATTGTAGGTGGGCAAAATATTGAGTCGGGGAATGGGTGAGCGGATGAGCCAATGCAGAAGGTAGGCCAATGGATGAATGGATAAATGGATGGACAAATCCACTGAACGTTTATTAGGCACTGTGTATGTACCAGCACTGCTCTAGGGGCTGGAGGATAGAAGTGAGCAAGGTAGACTCCCTTGCTTTTGAGAAGTTTAAATGGGGGCTGAGTTATTAGGTGGAAGAGGGCTGAGTGGGTGGACAGGTGAATGCGGGAGAGATGGACAGGCAGACGGATGAATAGAATGTGTGCATGGGTAGAATGATGAGTAGATGTGTGGGTGGATAAATACGTGCATGGATGGATGGTGGGTGCATGGGTGGGGAAAAATGGGGAATGGTGGGTGGATAGAGAGATGAGTGGGGGATAGGGGTTGGATGGAGAGGTGAGGGATAGAAGGAGAACATAGGAGCGTTGGGTCCAAAGAATCAGAAGGCTCTTTTTCTTTTCTAGGGAGCTGGGCTTAGCAGCTTGACATCTGGAGGATGACCGCACCCTTCTCTGGTGCTGCTCTTGACCTCTCACGCTCTCTCCCATTGTGTCCTTCTAGAACATGCGTCAGACCTCCTCATTCACAAGTCACTAACACTTCGGTTTGCTGGGGACTCCTGGTCATAAGCAGCAGCACACTTGAAGCCTCCCAGGTGTTCTGGAACCATCTCACACCTTTCCACCCGCAGCTGGCAAAGACATCACCAGAAATCAAAGGCTTTAATAAAAAGAGAGAGGTCCTTCCCTCTTCCCAACCCAGGCCAGGCTCTGGAGTGGCTTCTCTGGGGTGGAGATGTGAGAGGGTGGCCCTTTCCTCTTTCTTTCCTTTTTTCTTTCTTTTTCTTTCTTTCTTTCTTTCTTTCTTTCTTTCTTTCTTTCTTTCTTTCTTTCTTTCTTTTTCTTTCTTTCTTTCTTTCTTCCTCTTTTCTTCTTCTTCTTTTCTTCTTCTTCTTTCTTCTTCTTCTTTCTTCTTCTTCTTCTTCTTCCTCTTCTTTCTTCTTCTTCTTTTCTCTTCTTCTTCTTCTTTTTTTTCCTTGCCAGATATGTGGGCATATGGGTGAAATGGCATATACCATGTTACTGGAATGGCTTTAATTCGGGCAGTTAACAACCTGTTTTCTGTCAGCCTTTTGGCGGAGATGAGTTCACGGATCTGAACCCAGCCTCCTAGCCACACTCCAGCACCTTAATGTCTAGGCCTTCGGCATCTGAGAGGGTCCACCCTTGCTTCTGAGGAGCCACCTCCAGGCTCCGGGGCCTCATGCATGGGGAACATGTCACCCCCATTGCTCGCCAGAAGGGAATGCAGCCACCTTGGTGGAGTTTGCATTTAAATCTGAATCTGGTCGCTTATTCGAGCCTCCTGAGGAAGTCTGTTCACATCTCTGAGCCTCAGTTTTCTTATCTGAGAAATGGGAATAATTATCCCTGTCTTGCAGGCTCCTTGTAGAGGTTGAAAACAGAACGCATACAAAGTGCTTAGCACCATGCCCAGCACAGAAGAAAGGCCCAGAAATGCAGGCTATTATAAGGATCAGTTTGCATCGTGTTCTAAAATTCAGCCTCCTCTGAGTATTTCAGTGTCCTTTTGAGTGTCCTAAAAATGCTTAATTATATTTAAATATAAAATTTGAATTAAGTGAAATTCACTTAATTTGGAGACTCTTTAGACAAATGGGCTATAAATTCCTTATAATGTTCAAAAGCGGATACGCTGGAGAAGGAGCCCGACAGGGTACAAAACAAGCTCATTCTTTATGAAATGCTACAAATTTGACCATTACTTAGTAGACATGTAACAGCAGATAAAGTGCCAAAAAGACTGGGGGGAAAAATGGTATGTACACTTGGATAGATAAAACATTCTCAAAAAGAGCGTGCGTGTTAGGTGAACCGGTCATGAAACGGAGAGCTGTTTGCGTCCTACCAAGCAGTGAGGGAGGGAGGCTCCGGCCACACAGGGGAGGCAGCTACTGTCAGCTGCTATCTTCAGGCTAAAAGAGCCTAGAAGCATCAAGCACGGGGGTAGAGACACCTGAGGCCCAGAGGGGGCTCATCATCCACACAGGCTGAGCCAAAAGCCAGGCGTTTTGACCCCAGGCCAGCCCCCTTGACATTGCCCTGTGCCCCGTCTTGGAGCTCCATCAATTTCCCAAATTGTTCCCTTTTCCCCAGGCTTCTCTCCAGCCCAGCCGTGACCCACCTTCCCACACCCCACCAGCCCAGTTACAAATGGTGGTTTTCTGTTTATTGCTCAAAACCAAAAATCCAGAAGCGAAGGTGGGCAGATTGTGGGTTGGGAGATGGCATGAAGCGGGTAGGGGGCCTTGGCCCTGCTTTCCCCCTTCATCCCTCTTCTTCTGACCCTCCAGAGCCCAGGGGTGAGGCCCGGGGCCAGAGCATCTGGGAAGAGCCTTCAAGGCCAAGGGAATAGCAGAACTCTCAGGCAGTCCTTGGGGGGGGGGGCGTGCCCTGGGCCGGAGGGGCCCCAGGAGTTGCAGGAGGGCTGAGTTCCCCTCCCAGGGTCCAAAAGCCAGTAGGGTGGGAGGGAAGGGGCAGGCCCCTTGTTTGGCAACTGAGAAGAGGAGGCTTGGGCGGCAGGATGCTGGTTTATTTACTGTAGGGTCCCCGGGGCCGTCAAAGCCCCCTCGTGGGACCAGGAGACTATTTACACAGCAGGGAGGAAAGGAGCCAGAGACGAGGTCCTGTACTCCTCCCTGCCCAGAGTGGAGAGGGGAAGGGCGTCCTGGGTCCTGCAGCCTTAGTCTTGGGGTTCAGATGGAAACTTCATACTCCCGTGTATCCTGGAGACAGAGAGATGGGGTCAGTTGCTGGAGCGGGATGGGGATGGAGGAGGGGACAAAATGGAAGGAGGCATCCACCAGGGAGGGGAAAGACCCTGGGTTTTTAAAATAACATGGATCATGAGGTTTGGGAGCCATGGGGTGGGAATGGGGCTGAATCTGGCCCGGGGATATTTGGTTCATCTTACGGTATATTAAAATCGCACACAAATCTGAGTTTTTGGGTTGTCTTGAACAACTGGAAGACCTGGCAACTGGGCCTAAGTTTCCACTACAGACTAGATGGGGCACAAGTTGGCTCCTTAGCCACAGTCCCCACCACGCCTCCACTCCCGACCAGGCACGCCCGACTTGCTGTGTTGCAGCTGAGTTTGAAATCCCCAAGACGGGTATTACAGAGACTTTGAGAGAAAGACCTGGAGCCCTGGGGGAGCTGAAAGATGTAGCTCTCCAGGGGGAGGGGAAGAGCTCACCCCAGCTTCATACAGTGGGTTGCTGAAGTCTGACTCCACAGTGATGGGGCTGTAGGAATGGGAGCCCGAGAAGCCGAAGAGGGATTTTCCCTGTAGTCTGGGAGAGGGAGGAGATAGAGGGGCTTATCGAGAGGTGAGCCCCCAACCCCCCCCTCACCCAAGCGTCTGTGCCAGGCAGGCAGGACGTCTGCCCTGGCGAGGAGCTCCCCGAGTAGGGTACTTACTTGGTGTAGTATATGTAAACGCCACTGCCGAGGACAATGACCAGGCCTAGGGGCAGCAGGATGGCCAAGGCGAGGTTCCCACCCTCCAGCTGCCGCGACGGGTCTGTGGTCTGGGTCACTGGGGAGAGGAGAGGCCAGTGAGCTGGGGCTGGGCCCAGCCCACTGGCCTCTCCCAGCCTCCTGCCCTGGGCCTCGAACCCTGGGCCTCACCCCTCCGGGGCCTGGCCTCCTGCCCCCGGCCTCTGCCTTGCCCTCCCGACTTGGCCAGGCCTGGGTCTCCACCTGTGCCCTCACTGACCTTCCAGTTTTCGGTTGTCCAGGAGCTCCTCATAGGCCACTGCAGGGAGAGGAGGGGGAGGGACGGGGTCTGAGCCAGGGAGGGAAGGAGGCTGGGTAGAGGCCGGGAGCCCAGTGGGGCTGGGCTGGACAGCCTGGTTCTCTCTGCCCTCTGCTCAACCTAAACTTTATCCTTCCTTTGGTGGGGGCGGGGGGAGGAGTAGTCAGGGCAGGGCCTTCTTCCTCCTCCAGACCCCGAAAAGTTCAGGGTTCTTGAGCAGTCTGAACGAATCGGGTCTGTAGAATTTGTCAAAAATGGTGAACCTGAGACCTATCCAGAGGGCAAGAGACTTCCAAGCCAAGGCCCCCTCTGCTACATCCCTTAGGACAATTCCATGACCTTGAAATTCCCCAGGACCCCTGGGTGTACTTGTGAGGATCAGAGCCCACGGGAGGTGAATGGGGAGCTCAGCAGGGTTACCGTCGCTCTCAAATTTGCTACTACCTGACTTTCCCAGTCCCATCACTCCCCAGACCCTGCCGTGCCCCCTCCTGCCCTGTCTGCCCGGGCACCTTTGCAGAGTGGGGGCTGGCTGGTCCACTGGGAGGGGTGACCGGGCACACAGGTGATGGTGACCTCGCCGATGAGCTCAAAGCCCTCGTAGCAGAAGAAGCGCAGAGACTCGCCGGCCTGGTAGTGATGCTTGTACAACGTCTGATAGCCGTTCTCTGGCACCCCTGGGTTCAGGCACGGCTCATACTTCACTGCAGGACATACGGCAGTCACCTGCCGGCTCGCTGCGGAGCAGGCCACCCAGCCACCCTTCCCAGGGTGTCCGCAGACTCACAGGCACACTTGGGGACCCGGTCGCTCCACTTGGGTGTGCCCGTGTCCCGGCTGTAGCAGGTGAGCACGGCCGCCCCCTCCAGGCTGTACCCGGGCAGACAGCGGTACTGGACGTGGGAGCCGACAGGGAAGCCAGCGTCTGAGGTGGTACGGTGCCCGTTGGTGATCTCACCAGGGTCGGCGCAAGTCATGACTGTCGGCAGGAGGGCAAGTTCAGGGGGAGCTCAGGCCTTAAAAGATCTCCCGGAAGCTGAGGGCCGGGAGCCGCCTGAGCCATGGGCCATCTTCCCCCTAAGCAAACCCCCATCTCCCACCACTTCCTCCAAATGAAGAGATCAGAAGTTGGAAAAATGCAAAAAACGGTGCACTTTAGATTTCAGGCTTCTTCCGGAAAAGAGCGGTGGGGGCAAGCCAGGCCCCCATCCGAGGATGGAATGGGAAATATTTCGCCCCTGTACCAGAGCATATGAACTACATCCCAGCGCCGCCGGCCCCGCACGGTGGATCTTAGGCGGGACAGCAGCTGTGCTCTTTAGAGGGGCCCAGCCCTCCTGTTCCACTCGTCCAGTCATTCCCAGTACCCTCCACTCACTCGCACAGCCTGCCCTGCAGGTGCTTGTTTACAACCTTGTTGAGCAAGTAACAATCAGAGCCATTTCTTGTACATGGACCTCT